GATCGATGTCCCAGCGAGGCAGGCAGTGAAGTCGTGAAGATGTGGTAGTGGGTACCGGTCAGGCACTGTGATGCGGTTAAGTGCACGGTAATCACCACAGGGTCTCCAATCTCCAGACGACTTGGGCACCATGTGCAGCGGTGATGCATACCGACTGCTGCTGGGTCGGATGACTCCGAGACTGAGAAGGCGCTGGAACTCTGCCTTGGCAGTGGCGAGTCGAGCTGGATCCAGACGGCGTGGGCGGCAGAAGACCGGAGGGCCGGTAGTCTCGATGTGATGTCGGACTGAGTGCTGTGGCTCCGGGTGATGTGACGGCTGGGTGAGGCTGGGGAATTCTCGAAGGAGGTTAAGGAATGTTGGGTTGTCGGTTCCGACGACGGCTGTCAGTCCGGTGGATGGCACTGAAGAGTGGGAAGCAGGTGAAGACAACTCAGTTAGGTGGTCGATGAGACGGCCTCTCTTGGTGTCGACGAGGAGATCATACGAGGAGAGGAAGTCGGCTCCTAGGAGAGGATGGGAGACGTCCGCGATGATGAAGATCCAGTTGAAATCTCTTCTGAGGCCGAGAGAAAGCGTGAGCATGCGCTGACCATAGGTCTGGATGCTGCTGTTGTTGGCTGCTTGCAGATCCAGTCCGTTGGTTCCGCGAGCACGATCGGTGGGTGTCGCTGGAAGAACACTGTACTCGGCTCCAGTGTCGATGAGGAAGGTGATACCAGTGTTGTTGTCCTTGAGTCTCAGAAGGCCGCTTGCTGGAGGGACGTCAGGGTTGAGCAGGGCAGGTGCAGACGTCTGTGTCACCTGTCCTACTGCTGGTTTCCCGAGGTCTGAGTTGCGGTTGTAGACCACGAGCACGGTGACTGACATGAGCGCGCGTTGGTACCGAACTTGTGGTGGTACCAGCAGAAGGAAGCACCAGCGCCGGTAGACGTGTTGGTTGCAGGGCTGGGTGACCGGGCAGCAGCAGACAGGTCGCGTGGTGGACGGTGGCGAGCGCGGCCGGGGGCACGGGATGCAGACCTCTCTCGGCGGCGCGTCTCGTCCACCAGTGTGGCGACTGATGTTGTGAGGGCCGTGATACCAGTCAGCAGCTGGCTCATCAGGTCTTGGAGGTGGAAGGGTCCTGCAGGAGCAGCAGGTGAGGCTGCAGCAGACGCAGAAGTCGATACCGCGGCGAGAAGGCCTGAGGTAGGTGCAGCGACGTCCGACTGCTGCGGAAGCTCCAGGAGTCGGTCGGCAGTGCTAGCGATGGTCGCAAGGTCCGTCCCAGGCGGCAGGCACTGGAGGAAGGGCTGAGTCCGAGGCGGAAGAGCATTGAGGAAGATCTGGCGGATGAGCGGGGAATCTTGTGAGCCTTCAGCTTCAGCAAGGTCCAGGAGATGCCGAAGGAATTGGGAAGGACGCCTGTCGCCGAGTTGTTGGCCAGAGAGCAGGCAGCGAAGACGCTGTTCGACTGATTTGCCGAACCGCTGACGGATGGCGTCGGAAAGGATGCTGTAAGGTCGGTCTAGAGGAGGGTTGCGGAGGATGTCGGTGAAGTCGCGCAGGAGGTGGCCAGGAAGGAGAGTAGCGGCGATCCGGAAGCGGCTGAGCTCATCGTCCACAGCTGCCTGAGAGAAGAAGAGGTCGAGCTGGACGAGCCAGATCACGGGGTCCTCCTCGAAGAAGCGCGGCGGCGCGACGTGGCTGCGTGGCGCGGTCGCCACGCGGAGGTAGTCCGGTTGGGCGGCAGCGGCAGCAGCAGCAGCAGCGGCATGCGTGGCGGCGGCGGCGGCTGCACCGGCTCCGGCGGCTGCACCGGCGCCGGCAGGCTGGGTCTTCTGGTCCATGGCTGCCGAGAGCAATGGTCGGGAAGATCGGTGGCGGCGACGGCGATCCGGCGATCGGCAGGTGCTGCGGTGCAGCTGCAGAGGTAGCCGTTCGGTAAGATGAGCCGATGAAGTAGCTGGTCCGTAGTGCAGCAGTAGTAGTCGGCGTTGTCCAGTTCCACACAGCACAATAGAAGGATCCTCGTGGAGACACACCATCCGCCACTTCCTTCCTACACAAAGAGAGCTGGAGGAGATAGCTCAGGGTGCAGGCCAGTGTCGGTGTGTCTGGGAACACGAGGGGATAGCGATCCCATGGTGCGTAGAACGCGGGGTCACCAATCTGGCTGGTGTAGCCAGTAGAAACACTGTAACATACAGATATCTCTTGTATTTCGCCACAAAATCGAGACATATATAATTTTACATACGAACTTACTTATCTAGTATTGCACACATGTTGGCGAGAACATCGAATGTAATAAACGAATACATATGGTTTTTAATATACACATAGCCAATGCAGTTGTCCAAACAATACAGCAGTTTAAGCGAACGGAACGTTAAAAGGGGGACGCACAACTTAATCGAAGGCTTTAGCAATTTAGAGACTGGTAAAAGCGACATCTATTAACAAAACTGTAACTCGTGGTTCACAGCATCTAGCGGCGACCGGCAGAAGTACATGGGCCTAGCGGTGACCGGCAGAAGTACATGGCTACAGTCCCTCCTCTCACTCACTGGCTGCTGAAGGTCCCTGCTCCACTCACTGGGTGCTGAGGGCCCCTCCTCCAACTCACTGCCTGCTGAGGGCCCTGCTCCACTCACTGGCTGCTGAGGGTCACTCCCGTCCCTCCTCCAACTCACTGGGTGCTGAGGGCCCCTCCCGCCCCTCCTCTCACTCACTAGCTGCTGAGGGTCCCTCCCGTCCCTCTAACTCTCTGACTGCTGAGGGCCCCTCCCGTCCCTCCTCTAACTCTCTGACTGCTGAGGGCCCCTCCCACCCCTCCTCTCACTCACTGGGTGCTGAGGGCCCCTCCCGCCCCTCCTCTCACTCACTGGGTGCTGAAGGTGTCGGGCCGGTCGGAGACGGCCGGCCGCGGCTGCGATCCCGGCGTGCCGGCGCCCAGAGTGACTGCGTGCGGACAGCGCGCCGGGTTGGCCACCAGCGCGCCGCCGTGGTCCTCCACCAGCGCCTGCAGCCGGCAGCGCTCCGGGCGCGGCAGGCCCGCCAGCAGGTGGAACTCCATCGGCTCGGCATCGTCCGGCCGCACAAACAGCTGCGAGAGCCGCGAGGGCGGCACCATCGCCGCAGAGCTGAGAGACACAGGGGGTCAGTACTCAGTATCCACAGCGCTGAAGGACACAGGGGGTCAGTCAGTCTCAGTATCCACAGCGCTGAGGGACACAGGGGGTCAGTATCCACAGCGCTGTCAAAATTATTCTAAGACTACACATAAATACATCTGTTGATGCCTATACAACGGATCCGAGTCGATCAGCTCAGGGGTATTGACTATTAAGTGCAGGCGACGGGTGTGGGGCCACGTTTTCAGTGGGTCGGTGGAGTTCTGCTGTTTGTTAGTTCTGGGATGCGTCAGCAGCAGAGCCGTTATGCGCCCAACGGACAATACAGTCCACGACGAAGGGGTTCCCGAATACAGAGACAATAAGCTCGCGGTGGACGCCGTGTCACGCTGCTCCCACACGGGCTCTACGTGACGCATGGCTGAGGGGGTGTCTCATCGACTCCGAGCCCGGCCAGCGGGCCTAACGGCCGAGTGAGACGCAGCAAGATGTCTCGTCTCGGCGCCCGGCTCGATCGATCAGGGAAGGAGCAGGCATAAGCTCACAGATGCTATAAAGGTGCTATTGAGCGGCACACAATGGCCGCAGCTGCGTCAGAGGACATATGGTAGTGCATAGCCATACACATAGGGATCGGGCAACCTTTGAGAAGCATGACATTCTGGATGTGTCGAAGACCGGAGCTCAAGACACTGTTCGCTGAGACCATGGTTCCTTGATTGGGAATCTGCCGTGCCCACATGGCATCTCAACAACAAACGCGCCAGCCTCAGTAAGAGCCAAGAGGGAAGGCCAGCCCTTCTCATAGGCCTCGCGTGGGTGCCTGTGCTGAAGGAAGTGGTGCCATCTGTCCAGGACGCGGTCAGAAACCCCGCCCTAGCCGATCGGGGAGAGTGGTGGTCGCGCGCCTACCACTGAACAAGGCAGCCGAGCAGAACTTAACAGCGGTGACACAAACATTTCATCTGTTCAGGTATGAAATGTTTCAGGTACCTCGTATGAAATAAAATGTTATGAGATGTCTTCAGGTACCTGCCTACCTAAATAGGTACCTTCAGGCTTCACTTTCAACCAATACCAAGTTCAAGTTCTTCAGTCTTGGCCTTGTTTCCCTGTCTGTTTAGGTACCTACTATCAATTCCTTCATCTTCTTTAGCTGTTCATGTAATGTGGCACAGATAGACGATAGTAGCAATACGAAGAATGACAATAAAACTTACCTTAAAGCAATAAGACCAATAAAATAACTGATCACACGAAATAGACTATTTAACCGCCAAGATACGTATACGTATAAGAAATAACCGCCTTGCACGCGCCTCTTTTGAAATTTCCAATGCTTAGAATTATAGGTGTTCAAAAACTATATTTACAAATCTGCTCTGGATATGACAGCTAATCAACGGCAGTCTGTAAAAGTAGTGCAAGTTCTTCCTTATTCGGGAGTTGTAATTTGATATTTCTTGAATTTGTATTTTTTTAAATTAAAAACTTTGTATCTCCCACTTTGTGATATCAGGTAATAATCACATATTCCTTCAATCGTAATTTTCAAGCTTCATCTTACTAAGTTTATAGATATAATTTGCATCACTCACTAACATGAACACCATAAACGATATTTTAGAACATGCCTGCTTAATTTTTTCTTGCGCCATATTTGACCAAATATTTTTAAAGATAAATGACGTCAGTTGTAAAATAATGCTGCAATTTCTGCTAAAAAAAAGAGTTTCATTTCTATTTTTCTTGATTGAATTTTTTCTGTTATTTTTCAGTAGTCGAAATGCTCAAACACATAAACAAAACTAATTTTTTGGGCAATGATGTCAATCAGCATGTTTGGAAGCTAGGCAGTATCCGAGCAATTGCATCGGCCTTGAATGTATTTCACAGCCGTTCGCAGGGCGAGAGATTTGGGGCGTTTGGGGCGCTCGATTTCTTCGATTCGGTGGTGGAGGTGTTGGGTTGGATGGAGTTTGCGTGAAAACCGCGGGGAGCTTAACATATTTTGCATATAATCTGGTGAGTGGTTATTAAGATAAGGTTAAGGTTAAGGTTAAGGTTGATGAGCTAGGTTAGACTTGGTCTATTTGGTGCTCATGTCCGGTAGGATGGTACATAGAAGGATCAACAGTAGACATATGTAGGATTGATGACTAGGAATGGCAGGTGGTAGCCCAGTGTCGGTCGAGTCTGTTCTTGAAGGCATTTGTAGAAGGCGCAGAAACAACATGATCAGGGAGCTCATTCCAAGGCGTAACGACTCTATTCGAGAAAAACTTGGCTCTGAAGTGATGGGCTGCTCTCTTTTTCTCCAGCTTCAAGTGGTGTCCCCTGGTCCTTGTGTTATCTTGTAGTTTGAACAGCTTCGTGGGGTCGATATCTAACTTGTTGGTAAGAATCTTGTAGGTTTCTTACTTACTTACTTACTTACTTACGAAGTACAGAATTTGGATAGGCCAGACTAGGCCTTTAGAAACCTTTCTAGTCGAGCTCCTCGTGCGTCTGACTATTCATCTGCGTGAGGGATGTCGTGTGCATGGTGTGCCCAGTGAGCGTCAAGCCGGTTTTTGAATTGGTTCAGGGTGTCGGATGCGACGACCACTGACGGTAGGCTGTTCCAGTCGTTGATGACCCGGATGGAGAACGCGTTGCGCCGAATCCTGGAGACCGCTCGCGGCTTGGCTAGTCTCCATTGGTGTCCTCTTGTAGCAGGAGTTCTGTCGGCTGCCATCTCGAAGAAGTTGCGAGGGTCCATGTCCAGTCCACCGCGGAGCAGCTGATAAACCGCGATCATATCTCCACGCCTCCGTCTGTAGTACAGCGTTGGTAGCTGCAGCACTTTCAGACGCTCTCGATACGGGAGGTGTCGAAGATCGGGAACCAGCTTGGTCGCCCGCCTCTGCACCCGCTCTACCAGCCGCTGGTCCGCCCGGTTGAAGGGACCCCACACTAGGTTCCCGTACTCAAGGTGGGGTCGGACAAGGGCCTTGAGGAGCAGGGGGAGGGTTGATTTGTCAAGAAGGTGGAAGGACCGACGAATCACTGCCATCACTTGTGTTGCCTTCCTTACGGCCGCAGCAGCCTGCTTCCGGAATTTGAGCTGGGTATCCATGAGGACGCCAAGGTCTCTCTCGACATCCGACTCCGCGACTGTAGTTCCCCCCATCCGGTATGTGTGGTGCTGGTTGCCTCCGCCGATGTGGAGCACCTTGCACTTTCCAGGGTTGAATGCCAGCTGCCACCTGTCTGCCCAGTGAAGTGCCGCGTCCAGGTCCTCCTGCAGGGATGCCGAGTCGGACGGAGAGCAGATAGGTCGATAGAGTTTGCTGTCGTCGGCGAATATCTTTATCCCGCAGCTTAGCGGCTCCGGCAGGTCGTTCACGTACAACGTGAAGAGCAGTGGAGCCAGGACTGAACCCTGTGGAACACCGCTTGGTACAGGAGCCCAGTCTGACTTGCTGCTCCCAACAGTGACTCGCTGCTTCCGTCCTTCCAAGAATGCACCGATCCATCTCAGAATCTTGCCTCCGATGCCGTGAGCTTCAACTTTCCTCAGCAGTCGTCTAGGTGGGACTGTGTTGAACGCCTTGGCCAGGTCTAGGTATATGACGTCGACAGGTCGGTTGCCCTCAATCATGCTGCTCCAATCCTCTATCGTTAGCAACAGCTGAGTAGAGCAGGACCTCCCTGGACGGAATCCGTGTTGGGCGTCATTGATCAGGTTCTCTGACTTAAGGTGTGCCATAAGCCGGTCGCGGATGATCGACTCCAAGAGCTTGCACGGAACAGACGTCAAACTGACTGGCCTGTAGTTCCCTGGTTCATCTTTACTTCCTTTCTTGTAGATTGGAACCACATCTGCCAGTTTCCAGTCCTGCGGCAGGGTCCCCGTGTCCAATGACGATCGGTAGATGGAGGTAAGCGTGCTTGCTAACGAGTCGGCTGTTTCCTTGATGATCCGTGGGTGCACTCCATCTGGGCCCGCGGCGGAAAAAGGTCGTAGGGCAGCCATCTTCTTTCCCACGAGTTCCACAGTGAGATCGATGTCAGTGACAGCTGGACCGTGGTAGGTGTTGTTCGGCTCCGGGATTTCTCCGGGGGGTTCCATGACGCAGACTGAATTAAAAAAGTCGTTCAGTGTCGTCGCTTTCTCGCAGTCGTTCGTAGTTAGGGTGCCGTCCGCAGAGCGTAAGTTCTCAACTCCGCTTGTAGTCTTCATCCTGGAGCCAGCGTATCGCCAAAAACCCTTGGGATTTTCTTTCAGGTTGGAGGCCAGTCTCCTTTCGAAGTCTTTGCGCAGGTTTCGGGTGAGTCGCCTGAGGTCGTTTTTGCAGCGAACGTACCTTGCATGACTGATGTCGTCCATTTCTCGAGTGTAAGCGGCCCAGAGCTTCTTTTTCCTGTTCTTTAGCCTCAAGGCTTCCCTGTTTATGTAGATGCTTCTGTTTTTCCTTGGACACGCTTTGGGGACGCATGCGTTCACCAGGTGGGCTAACTCGGTCTTGAAGGTGTCGTAGCGTTCTTGCATATCCATATGCATTTCATCACGCCACTGTCTCCGTCTGATCAGGTTGTTAAGCCGTAGATAGTTGCCCTTGTTAAAGTTGAGTCGTCCCTCCTTCACTACCTCAGGCTGCATGTAGCAGCACACCTCAAATTGTAGTAACATGTGGTCACTGTTGCCAATAGGTGGGTGATAAGCAAGGTTGGTCACCAGGCCTTCTTCGTTGGAGAGGATGATATCCAGGCTGCTTGGTCTCTCGCCAGCACGGTATCTTGTGGCTTTGGTTACGTGCTGGGTGAGGCCGCATTCCTGTACGCCCTCAACAAACCTTTTGGTGTAGTGACCATCAGGAGCGTGGGAGAAGTGATCGTTCCAGTCGATCTGGGGCATATTCACATCACCCGCAATCACTATGTGGGAGAACTTTTGGGAAACAACAGTTTTCAGCAGAGATATTAGGTTGTCAGTTGAGGTGTTTCCGTCACTGGATGGGCTTCTGTACAGACATCCTATGAGCAGCTGGTCAGCACCTAGCAAAGGTAGCTTGACCCACAGCTGTTCTTCATAAGAGCAGGCTGGGAAAGACACCTCTGTAGCCTGCCACTTTGCACTGACAAATATGCAGATGCCTCGTGCGCCCCCCTGTCCCAGTTTATCCTTGACAGGGTCAAAGTTCAGGAACATGGTATAGTTTGGAAGGGCCATGGTTGCAGGTTGCATTGGATGGCTCTGGGCTTTTGGGATGACCTCACACAAAAGTATCAGATCAGGCTCGTTGTTTGAAATGAACATGGCCAGGTCCTCCCTCTTGTTTAAGTATTGGTCAATGTTTGTGTACAGAATTGTTAGTTTCCTTCGACCACTTCTCTCCATTTCATCTAGTCATTTGTGATGGGAGATCGAAGAGGGTTGTCCAGAACTCTGCTGGACAGGTCTGTCTTCATCTCGTCTTGCCAGATTCCCACGACTTTCATTTCCCAGAGTGGGGGGCTGATCTGCCTGGGTTCTTTCTGTTCGTCTCTTTTCATGTGGGATAGGAACAATCCTACCATGTCTGATCCAGATGTGCTCCTCTCCCGAGGCCTTCCTCCTTGCCAGTTCATTCCGCAGCTGTCTTCCCTTTTCCCTCTCCTTCCAGGTGAGATCAGGCGAGATGAAGATATTACTCCAGGCGGAGTCTCTCAGTGAAGCAGCAGATTTCAGGATCTCGAGCTTATCATTCATGTTGGCAAGTGTGACTATCAAGAGTCTCGGCTTGCCATCAGTCGGTTTGCCGACTCTGAATGTTTTTGTAGTCTCCACCATGAGCTTCAGACCCTCCTTTATTATTTCCTTGAATCTGCTACTGTCCTGTTCAGCCTTCTCAGAGAACGACAATCCTTCTGGTTCCTGTAGATTGTGCACGACAACATTGAGCAACAGGTCACCACGAGCAGCCCTGTCCTTCATGCTCATCAGGTCCAGCTTCCTTAGCCTGTCCTCATAAGAAAGATTTCTGATTTCTCGAACGAGTTTGGTTGCTCTCCTCTGAATCTTCTCCAACTTCAGTATATCCTGGGCCATATGGGGTCCCACTGTTGGCAAACAGTAGTCCATGAATGGTCGAACGTAAGTAGTGTAGAGAGCCTTGAAGTTTTCAGTGGTGAGACGACTGGAAGTCATCTTGAGTAATCTCAGCGCTACCATGGCTTTCTTAGCTGCTGCGTCACAGTGAGCAGTGGCCTTCAGGTCCTTTGAAATGATGATACCAAGATCACGTTCAAGATCAGTCTTCTTTAGTATCAGATGCTTAAATTCGTTTATCATTATAGATCATTCATATTATTTTGGCATGATTTATTTCCCAAATCCGTTACACCTTAGGTAGGTAACGGATTTGGGAAAACTAAATGCGTATTTAAAAAAAAACTATATGCGACCACATTTACCTGTAGGTACAGGTCTCGCGGTTTTCATTTTTAGCGGTAGGTTTTGCACCTAGAAATTTAAGTGTAATTCAGGCTATATCTCCGTCGTCTGAAGCTTAAAAATGTGGAAGAAGCGATCGACTTGTTGGTTCACAAGCCGGCCATGATTGTGTAAAATGGTTTCATCGTAGATCGATTAGTTTCTGACTTCTGAGATATAACCGGAATTGTAAAAGTGCAAAACCTACTGCTTAATCTCGCGAGAGCCGTGCCTTACCTTCAAGGTGCTTGGGTTAAAAAAGGCCAGAATGTCATACATCTTGTTGCTTCCAGTGTTTGTCCAGTCGCACCTTACACTGGTTTACAGTTCAGTTGGGCAAACTAGACCTTTGGAATCAAAATATGGAGGCATCAAAAGATTGATTCCTTATGACCATATTTGGGCATAAATGCAGACCATTTCTAACTTACCAATCACATAAAAATAAGAGAGTGTTTCAAGAAGGAGCATGCCTGATCTTGAACAGAAATGCTGGAACTATCTCCTAAGCAAAATAATATTAATATTGCTCCTATCATAACAATTTGAATAGGTAGTTAAAGGCAATCAAGGAATTGATTCACTTGAAACAGATAATCATAATATTGATTCCCCATCAGCTGGCTAATCATTATTTTGATTCACAGGTAATGTTTTTTTTGTGTGTGTATTTGCCTTCAAACGATAATCAAATCCACAATTGGATCAACACGATACTTCTATATCTATGTATAGGCGAAAGGAAAAAATAACACATCACAATCGCCGAGAAAAAAATGTAAAAAATACGAGCAAATATTTTCATTGCTGACACACATTGAGATACGGCTATATGCAGGCGTCTGGATGTGTTAGTGTGTGTTCGTGTTATGAGTGTTCGTTTGCGTATTTTTTCCCCTCTGGCGTGTGTGAGTGCTTATGCAGGTACACGGTGTTTAAGCAGTATATACATGTGTCTGTGTAAATGTGTGTAATGTGAGTGTGTGATGTGTGTAGGTACAGGCCAAATGGTCACCCGCCGAGGGTGGCACGGGCCCCGCCACCCCAGGACCAGACGTTCACGATCGCTTTTTTTTTTTGTTAATTCAGCAATTTTCCGATCTCGCCCCATTTCTGTTCAAACATACATAGCTTATTATGAGACTTGGCGATGCAGTATTCTTTCAAAACTTCAAATTTTAGACAGTTAACTTAGGGACCCTCCCACCTTCAAAAAAGTTAATGAATTGGCATGAAAGTGATGTCGCTCGGTTCAGAAAGAGCAAAAACGAATATCTACCAAATTTCATCGAAAAATATTCACCGGTTTTCAAGATATTAGACTTTTACTTTTGTTTACTTTTTGGGATCTCCGCTGTTCCTAGCGACTTTATTTGAAAGTGCGGCATTTGTTGCGCGCAAAGCAGCATATACCACCGCGTGCTACAAAACGTTTTAGTCAAACATTTAACCGACGTTCGAAAGCCTGATGACGTCATCAGATTCCCGTAATGGTTAAGAGATAGGGACCACGCTGGTCCCACCCTGCAAGTAAAGGGAAGCAATTTCTTGAACACCATAAAGCTGCGGGGGTTGCGACCAGGATAAATGGTGGTTTCTGAGCCTGGCCGCAAACTTGGCTATCTCAACTCAAAACTAATGTTAAGGTGGGAGGGTCCCTTTAAGCATAACTTCCAACGACGGTTTCCGGGAGTTAGTTTTTGCCTTATTTATACATAATTTGCTGAGCGTCACTGGTTATGGTTACTTCTAAATCTGTAAGATCATTCAGCATAAACCATTTCAGACGGTCGATATTGATTGAGGTATTGTATTCCTGTTTTATATGTGAAAGTATTTCTTTTATGAATATTTGTGTAACAGAGCAATGCCAGAAGAGATGAATGATTGTTTCGGTATCAATCTCACAGAAACTGCACTTAAAGTTATCGCGGATGCCAATGTTATACAAATATTTGTTAGTCGCGTATATTCTATTGACTATTCGAAAATGAAGATAGATGAGGGTTGTCGATATAGTCGACTTGTTTAGTGCCTGCAAACTTCCCTCCGTAAAAGCACCAATTTCACCTATCCATTTTGCTTTAAGACGTTCATTGGCAGCATTATTCTTCTTGGCCTTTTGTTTAACAAAAACATTATAAGCACACTTTGAAAACATTTTCCGATTTTGAGCTAACTTAATCTTATATGGTATGTTTGGTTTCTGTATGAATGTTTTGTCGACTCGCAATTGGATTTCCGACGGAATACTGCGTACCAGTGATGTATAACATAAGAATGTCATTCGTATTCCGTACACATCTTTTATTTCTTCTTTTGAGTATATTTTTCCTGTGTTCGCATTATATAAATCGCTAATAACGCTAATCGCTAATCACGCACCGTCAGACGAGTCCGTCTGACGGTGCGTGATTGTGTGTGTCCCCATCTGATGGTGTTTGTCCCCGTCTGACGGTGTTTGTGTCCCCATCTGACGGTGTTTGTCCCCATCTGACGGTGTTCGTCCACGTCTGACGGTGTTTGTGTCCCCGTCTAGTGTTTGTGTCCCCGTGTTTGTGACGGTGTTTGTCCCCATCTGACTGTGTTTGTCCCCGTCTGACGGTGTTTGTGTCCCTGTCTGTGTGTGTCCCCATCTGACGGTGTTTGTCCCCGTCTGACGGTGTTTGTGTCCCCGTCTGACCGTGTTTGTCCCCGTCTGACGGTGTTTGTCCCCGTCTGACGGTGTTTGTCCCCGTCTGGTGTTTGTGTCCCCGCGTTGGTGACGGTGTTTGTGTCCCCGTCTGACGGTGTGCTCTGGCGCGGCTCCCACAGCGGTGATGCTGCGCGCCCGCTCCCTGCTGCTGCTGCGGTTGGCGGCGCCGGCGGCCGGCTGCGGTCCGGCTGCGCGGCTGGTGCCGGCGCGCCTGTTTGCGGCCGCGCCGCCGCCGCCGGCCGCCACGGCAGCCGCCGTCTCCGCCGAGCCGTTCATCAACGGCTCCAACTCGAGCTACGTGGAGGAGATGTACGTCCAGTGGCTGCGGGATCCCAGCTCCGTCCACGCCGTGAGTACCGGAGCCTAACCCTGTAACACACAGACACACAGACAGACAGACAGACAGACAGACAGACGGGATTCGAGCTTCGCGCGCGCCGCGAGTAGCAGAGCCTACCACCTGGCACAGGCAAACAGACAGAGAGACGGAGAGACAGAGCCGAGACGGAGCCTCCTCTGACGGGAGTCGAGACCGGGCCCGCCTCCGCAGCCGAGTGCGGTGCGCGGCGCGCTGCAGCTCTGTCAGACCTCAGGCCGGCAGTGTCCGCTCAGAGTGGCGTCCAGTGAGCTCCGGTGGGAGATGTGCGGACCGCTGCGCTGAGCTGTGGCGGCCGGCTGGAGCCGCCTCTCCAGACGAGGCTGGCGCCTCTGGCCGGAGACGGGGCCGAACCCTCTCTTGGAGGTGAAGCATGGAAACTTGAATTTTTGCGAGATGCCAAAAGGTGCGTGCATCTTCGCTGCGGACCAATCCGTCTGAATCACATCAGGTGATTGAAACTGAATGGACCTACGTAGCTCGCTAGTGGTTATTTTACGCCTTGTGTAGGGCTTCCAGGTGATTCCACGGTGGACTGTGGTGACCTTTGACCTATTATTGGTCACCTCTGGTCACTTGTCATTTGCGGTCGGTATGGTGGACTGACTTTGACCTCTGGCGACCTGGCTTTGGTGACCTGTACGGTGACCTGCCGTCGGTGATCTGTGGTGGCCTGTCATTGGTGACCCGTTCACACTGACCTCCAGTGACCTGCCCCGTTGACCCGCCCCGTTGACCCGCCCGGCCCGTTCAGTCCACTCGTTCTCCCCCATTCGCCGTGCTGAAGACAGGTGGACGGTGCGCCGGGCCGCGAGCACGCGCCGTGTTCTGGCCCCCTGCCAACAGCTGGGCCCGACGCTGACCCAGCTATGGCCTCCCCCCCCCCCCCACGGCGGGGGGGTGATTGATCGGGGTTCGAGCGGCCGCCGCCGAATCGAACGGTGTAAAAGGACGGCAGATAATGAGCCCACACTCAGCACGATACGCCAGCGGCCCGGGTGTCTGAGCTAGGTCTGGGCAGGCTGGCGTCTGAGCTAGGTCTGGACAGGCTGGCTGTCAAATACGGCTTCCAGACAGACGTAAATGGTCACCTGCTCACCCGGCTGATCACAGAGCCGCCGCCACTGTTGTTGTTTTGGTTCTGATTGTTCTGTGCGCTGCCCGAGCGGAGGTGGGTGGCGGGTGAACTCCGGTGTACGCTGCCGAGGTACTGTGCTAGCAGTGATACCGCGGCCCATGGTGCCGAGAGGGACAGGGCCTGAGACACTGTCCGCAGTGGACGGACCTCCGTCTGACCGCCCCGGTGACATGTCCTGGAGGTCGCGCCTGTTGCCCCTGGGGGCCGCCAGCGCAGCGCTCCGCGGGGCCGCGGCACGTGACGTCACCGGCGCGTGACGCGGCGCCGCGGCCGTCACGTGGCCGGCCTTCCGAGCGAGGTCGGCTCGAGCTGGGACGACTGTCCGGCCGGCCGGCGGACCAGGGCGGCCCGCGGAGCTCCCTACCACCAGCCACAGGTCCGCCGGCTGCAGAGGTCGGCGCTCCCGTGTGGAAGCCGGCCGTACGGCTGCTCAGCGGGCGGCGGCTGAGGCCGCTCCGGTCTTCAGTTCCCGCGGGGGAGTTTCTGCGCCCGGCGGGTGCGGCCGAGGGCGGAGGCCGCTCCGGTCTCCAGTTCCCGGGGAGTTTCTGCGCCCGGCGGGTGCGGCCGGCGCTGGTTCAGTCACTAACTGAGGCCAGCGACACAGCCGGTATCGGATGCGGTTTGCGCGCCGGCCGCCAGTTATGTATGAGATGCGGCTGCGGGCACGGTGAGACACGACCCAGTGACACGGGAACCCAAGGCTATATGGAGAACTCCCGGGAACCGCTGAACTGGACGACTCGCTGCGAGAGGACGGACCTGAACGTCCAACTGCGACTGATTGCTGGCCGAGAGTGAGCGGAGGTTCTGTTTGATGATTACGTGTGGCGGATAAACCTTAACCCTCGCATGTGTGCGGCGTTTGCCAGCTTCTAATGTGTAGGGGGGGGGGGGTCGGTTGGACCCCCCCCCCCTTGCCGTTTGGCCCCTGATCGAGCTAGAGCTTCGCGGAAAAAACGAGCGTGTTGCCCGTGACGAGAGGAAGCCGATGATACCCAATTTTAAGGTCCTAGGTCATTGGTTGACCTTCCAGGTCAGGTCAATGACCCAAAGTCGGGAAAATCGGGACCTGTTAGAAAGTCGTAAAGTGTGGCTGCTAAGGGGTTTTTCGGGGTGCTGATCACGAATATCGTGTTAGTTTTGATCACAGATGATGTCTTGAAGCATTTAGACCAGGTCGGGTCAGGTCAGGTCAGGTCAACCAGTAGGCGTCGTGACGGGTATTCGTAGTACGTGTCAACCGCCTCTGACAGCTTCGTAACATGTTACGAAGTCACCAAAACTACTTCGTAAATGTTCAAATGGTTGCTAAATTCGAATTCAGCTCCAAAAAACTAGCCTAGAAACATGTAAAACTCGAAAAAGTGACCCGAGGTCACCCGAGGTCACCAAAGGTCAATGACCTGACCTGACCTTCAGGTGACCTTGACACACACGGGAGTAACATCAAATCACATGTTTGAACGTTTGAAACCACGAAAAGCTTGCAAACACGCGGCTAGTGCGAGCCGACATACGCGAAATCGCGATTCCGGCCAAACATGGTCTCGGAAAAGAGGTCACAGGTCAAAGGTCATTTGGGTTAGGGTCATGAAATTTTCAGGGTAGGTGTAAAATTGATCAATGCGAGGGTACTGAAAGTTTCGTCGCGATCGGCCGCTTTTTACGCGAGTTATTCGCGAAAAACCATGGGGGGTCCATCCGACCCCCCCCCCCCCCCTACACATGCGAGGGTTAAATTCCAATGCTGGCACTTGACAGATGCGGTCGCCTGGAGTAAAGCATGCGTGCTTTTCACTTGCAAAGTATCTCTAAAGTGTGCTGTTTCTCGCCGTTTTCCCCAGGCCTTCCTGAGGCGCTGACTATTGGCACTCTGACGTGAGCTGCTACAGAACAGACACGACAAAGGTTTGAGAGTGGATCTGTAGCGTTATTTGCAAAGAGCCTGTGCGAAGCCTAGCGAGTCTGACAGCACTCATCAGCCGTATTGTCCAATTTAAAATGGAATGTCTGCCTCATATCCCCCATTTAAAGTATGTGTCGCCGAATTCCACTGAGCCATATCTGCAGATAGATGGCTGGTGCTATTCGGTACCTGCGTTAGAGCCCGTACCGCGGGCTCCGATGGTCGACCATCGCCAGTAGTGCGGCAATCAGCCGTGCTTTAACTGCACGTAACCGGGCGGGACACCATTCTGCGAGCTGATCCGATACCAGGCCGTTATCGGCGTGTTGGACTGGCTACTGGAGCACCCCTGTGGTATCGGGCTGTGTGTCTACCGATAGTGTAATTCTCGAGTGGTTTTAATAACGTCCGATGGTGACGCGGCACTGGCTGTTGGCAGGTCCGTGGTCCTGTCTGTCTATCAAGTGTCTGTAACCCGTGGCCCCTGTCCGCTCCTCCCCTTCCTCGGGGAGGGGGGGGGGGGCTGCTGCCGTCCGACTCTTCTCTGGGCCGCCCGCTGTCCCTTCTTTGCAGCTGTCAGTGGTCAGTTTGACAGTCAGTTTCACTTGGTGAAAACTGTTCACTTGGTGAAACTGGCGATTGAAAGAGAGAGCCCAGAAAGAAAAAAGTTCCACACAGGATCCATTAAGGTTCAGTCGAAGAAATGACCGGCTTTGGACATTTATCCTCCAAAGCCGTCGCTCTGGAGCTGCCACTGCGCCCTCCGCCCAACTCCGCCAGTGTGCAGGACAGACTATTCCGAGAATGAATACACTAGTGATGTCAATTACGGAAAATCGGAATGCCGATACCAAACCAAATACCAACCAAAACCACGGGAAAATACCGAAACCAAACCAACTTGGGGAACTGAGGGAAATACCAACTTTTTACCGATTTCTTAGCCTCTTATACATTAGTGAGGGCTTATGATACCAACAAAATACCAAACACATTACGATTGAAATACCAAATACCAAGTTGGTATCGGTTTGGTATCGGTATACCAAAATGTTGGTATCCGATTGACATCTCTAGAATACACCTCAGAGGGTGCCCCGGTGTTTATTGGTTGCCAAGGCGACGAGCACCCATTGCGGAGAGGGCCCCTTGCTGCTGAAAAGTGGCGCTAAACTAGTCGATTCCGTATGATTCCGGGCGTCGAAAATTATGCAATGAATTAATAACCGTTCTGTGTTCACCGATATTTGGCGCATTTCACCGCATATATAACGGTGGGCTATCCACACCCGTGCACCGCGGCGGCGGCCGTGCTGGGGCGGAAAATCACCGCCCGTGCCCCGTTCCCCGGCCCGCGGGCCGTGCCCCGCCGCCCCCCTCCCCTCCGCGGACCGTCCGCCGCGGTGTCGCCCTGTTCCATCTGTCAGCCGGCCTGCTCACCGATACCCGCTGCAGCAGCGGGCCAACATCCCATCCCAGGTTTGTTGGTTGGATCGCGCAAACGGCCGGCTTCAAACCTTTTTTGGTGGGTTGATGTTTGAATATAGACAAGGAAAGTAGGTCAGTTGTCTGTCCATTGCAGTTGTTGTTGACGGCCAGGCGCGTTTTTCCTCCCTGCGGCGCTGACCAGTGCCCGGCCTGCGCCAGTGCACTAGTGTTGGTAGATCAGAACGGTCATTGAAGCGTCACAGACAAGACGAGCTTTGAGATCTGTCGAGTGTACCTATTATCCGTGTGCACACTCTGGCCACCACGCCCCGTACTGCGGGACCTTGAACTTGCCGACCGGGCTCTGACGCGGGCCCCACCTCCCCACCGCGTCCCGTACCGCGGGACCTTGAACTTGCCGACGGGGCTCTGACACCGCGGGCCCCACCTCCCCACCACGCCCCGTACCGCGGGACCTTGAACTTGCCGACGGGGCTCTGA